CCTGACCTCAGGTGATCCACCCGCCTCAGCCTCCCAAACTGCTGGGATTACAGGCATGAGCCGTCACGCCCGGCCATCTCCTAGATTATTTTAAAGAAAATTCCAGATATTTCTTTTCACTCTTGAATATTTTCATTCTGTATCTCTCACAGGTAAAGACCTCCTTCCTTACTTCTATCCTTCCTTTCCTCTCCCTCCCCTCTTCCCCTCTCCCTCTTCTGCTTTCTCTCTCTCTCCCTTCCTTTTCTCCTTTCCTCCTGCACTCTTTCCTAGTCCTCATTTCCTTTCCTCTCTTTCTTTTAAATATAATCCCAGTACGAGTTATCACACCCAACACAATTACAATTCCTTAATTATACTAAGTCTATGCTTGGTTTCCCAGGTTGTCTCAAAAACGCCTTTTGGCAGGCGCAGTGGCTCACACCTGTAATCCTAACACTTTGGGAGGCCAAGGCAGGTGGATCACCTGAGGTCAGGAGTTTGAGACCAGCCTGGCCAATATGGAGAAACCCCATCTCTACTAAAAGTATAAAAATTTAGCCAGGCGTGGTGGTGGGCACCCGTAATCCCAACTACTCGGGGGCTGAGGCAGAAGAGTCGCTTGAACCTGAGAGGCAGAAGTTGCAGTGAGCCAGGATCACGCCACTGCACTCCAGCTTGGGCAACAGAGCAAGACTCTGTCTCCAAAAAAAAAAAAAAAAAAAGCATTTTATAGTTACTTTGTTCAGATTAGTATCAAAATGTCACCCACATAGTATATTTGATTATAATGCTTCTTATGCTTCATTTAATCTATAATAGCACCCCATTCCTTTTTTATACTATCAATGGCTGAATATACTGGATCATTTGCCATTCTGGATTTGTCTCCCTGTATCGCAAGGTATTGTTTGACATGTTCTTCTATTCCCCCAATTTTCTGAATAATAATTGTAAGATATAGAGGCTTAATTTCATTCTCATTCAGTTATTTTGGGAAAAGATCTTAACAGGTGGTGCAGTGTATCAAGAGGCACCTATGGTCTGGCAATTCCCCTTTCCATATGTTAATATTGAATGACAAGGGGCAGACAGATAACCCAGAAATGTAGTCCATCACAATCAGAAGGCTATGTATGTGTATATACACCCACATACATATATGTGTTCATTGCATTGAAAAATGTAATTTTAATACACCAATTTATGACAAATTATTATTTATAGCACACTATCATCAGTATTCACTTTCATTTCCAAAATTCAGTTGGATTTCTAATCTTGCTATCTGAACAATTCTAAATTTCAAAGCAAGCCAGGCTTTGGCTCATACCTGTAATCCTAGTACTTTGAGAGGCCATGGTGGGAAGATTGCTTGAGCCAAGAGTTATCAGCCTGAGCAACATAGTGGAACCCCTTTTTTCCAAAAAAAAAAGAAAAGAAAAGAAAAGAAAAATTAACCGGGTGTGGTAGCATGCATCTGTAGTCCCAGCTACTTGGTTGGCTGAGATAGGAGGATTGCTTGAGTCCAGAAGGTCAAGGCTGCAGTGAGCTGTGATAGTGCCGTTGCACTCCAGCCTGGGCAACAGAGCAAGACCCCATCTCTAAATAAAATATAATTTTGTAGTGTGCTTAATTTAAGAAGAATCACCCCTCAGCCACTGTCTGCCCACTAAAATATTGGATGAATTCCTTCCAGTTAGACAAATTATGTATTTTTATTTACCTAGGACAGTGTTGCTGAATTATGAGCAAATGAATTAATCAGCATTTCTGTAAAAATGAATTCGCATGTCTCTGAGAGACAGGGAAATACACTATTTCTCTAATGATATCCAGAGTTCCTGAAAGATCTTGTGGTCTAATTGGTGAGGGACATATTGTACACATCCCAGGGATGTCAGTCAGACTCCAGTTACTGCTCTCTCAGTGTGATGGCTTCCAGAAGACATGCAACAAAATGACTCAAGGTCATTTTGAGTCAAAATAAAATAAAAACAAAACTGGCAACAGAGGTAACTTTTGGGGAGGGGCAAAAGGAAGAAAGGAGTGAGAGAGAAAATTATTCATCACCATAAACACACTTGTTTGCCTTTTGAGTTTAGAACCATGTGCTTATATCACCTAATCAAAAATGAATAAAATAGTTTATTTTAAAAAGGAAACCTGTTTGTTAAATCTATCCTAATAACTTAAAGCAAATTTCTAAAATTTTACCTACAATTGCACAATTCCATTTTGATTGAACTTTAATTTTATTGTCAAGCTGCCTAATTAAGAAGCATTCAATAATATTAAGAAATTCATGTTTAAACTAATTTCCAAAAAAGTCTGTAATAGGTGTAAACCACCAGAGAAAGTAGGCCAATTAATATAATTGGGAGGAATTAATTGGGTAATTGCATTTCACCAACTTAAATTCCCCCATCACCTTTAATCGGAATAACTTCTCTTTACTTCTAGTCCCTGAACCATTGTGTGGTATTGTTAGTGTTGGGTAATAAGGTTCTGAATCCCACGTCAAGGGTGGCTTTATTTCTGTGGAAGAATCCATAAACCCTGTATGGGCTGATAATAAGGGAAACAACCTTCAGATTACAGAAGATGTGATTGAACCCAGTTAACTGAAAAGAGACTCAGTTTACCCTAACACTGATACACCATTATAACTGACTAAGGTGATTTGGAGAAGTCTTGAAGGGATGACCAAGAGGGAAGTAAAATACAGTTAGAGATTTTGTGCACAGCTTGCCAAGCAGTTTCCTTAAGGCTGTCAGTTGTGTGTGTATTTGATCATTTCTTATTCTCACACCCACTGCTTTTTCCCCTAAATGAAAATTGGTCCAAAGGATATTGAATGACTCTTGAATTTCTTAGAAAAAGAAATTTGAGACAACTAATTTGGAACAAAGAAATGTATTTCTCACATAATGAACACCAAGATAAAGGGTAAAAATTCCATTTTCTAACTTGAGTTTTAGCACAGTGAATAGAATTGTGCTTGCTTTTTCTTCTATTGCTTTTGCAAGGAACAATGTGAACATGCAATAGAGACTTTTTTTATGAGATAGAGGGAATCTATTTAACATATCATTGTTTTAGATACATAACCAAAGAAGATGTTGCCATAGCTTCAGTGGATAAAGTGAAGAATACTGGGGGCCATGTCCGTCTGATCACAAAGGAGTCCAGGCCACAGGATCCTTTCACAAAGTAAGGTTTTTCTACTACTAGTATATAGTAGTACTAATTCCACTCCTTTACATTTTGATATTCAAAATAATGTCTCACCTTTGCGTGACCACTTTAGACGTTACAAAGAACTTTCACAAGATAGTAGCTCTTCAGTTGTCCTAGCAACCTGTTAAGGTACCTGGTGTCCTCATTTTAAACATTAAAGATGAGGAAGGACACTGAGACCAGGTGGACTAAGTAACCTGCCCCACGGCTTGGGGGTAGATGCCAGGAGACCTGAGGTTAAATCTGGGCTCTGTCCCTCAATCTTGAGCTCCATCATTAGAAGTCTTTCTTTTAACTCTTTCAAACAACCATGGAAAAATAGAGCAGCTGTTGTTACTTCCCAAGTAGGACTTTCTAACAAAATTGAGTAGTGTACCTTTTCTTTTATTCTAACAAATTGAGCACATATCCTATTATGTTTTGTATCCTAGCATGTTTAATTTCATCAACTCTGCGTTTACCTGTAGGTGCAAGTCTTCTGTTCTAATTCCTATCAGCACTGTCAGCTATTTCACTTTGTCACTTTATGGCTGTGACTCTGTTTCCTGTGTGCAAGCAGAGGCTGGAGGAGAGAGTTTGTAATGACTTCTCTGAGCTAATGAGGTGTGTGACCCCATATATTCAAGGAGCAGGGTAGCCACTAAGCTTTAGTTGGGATTTTACATTAGGCTGTCCTTTCCCAGCCTGAAGAAGCATTTTCTAACAGCTTCTCCAGATGTTTCACATGTTTTCATGTTTCACATGTTTCCAGATCATTTAACACGAGAGCATCTAAATTCCCAAGAGAGGCAACATATTTATATTCAAATTAATTTTTGTAACACACCATTCTTCCTTACATGGCATGGAATATAGAATGCTGACTATAGCTATTTTATTTCTACACTGTGATCCGTGTTTACTATTTATCCGTATAGAAACTTTGATAACCTTTATATGAAGCAATTGCTATTTAGAGTATTCATTCATTAGTTACCTATTCAGTGTTTTTTCAATTGTAGAAAATTTCTTGAAGATGGAGCCTGTGTCCCATTTCTAAATCCATACACAGTGCAGGCAGATCTCACTGTGAAGCCCTCTACATCCAAAGGCTATTTGCAAGCTGTGGATAATGAAGGAAATCCACTTTGCCTTCACTGTCAGCAACCCACTTGCCAGACTAAGCAAGCGTGTAAAGTGAACGCTTGGGATTCACGGTTTTGCTCTCTGAAATGTCAGGAAGAGTTTTGGATTCGATCTAATAACAGCTACCTGCGAGCCAAAGTATTTGAAACTGAACGTGGTGTGTGTCAGCTCTGTAATGTGAATGCACAAGAACTCTTTTTACGTCTGAGAGATGCCCCTAAAAGTCAGAGGAAGAAACTTCTGGATGCTACCTGGACTTCAAAGCTCCCATTAGAACAGGTAAGTTATAATCATGTGATAGATAGAAGGCAGCATTGTACTGAGTAATGAATATTGACTCTCTAACTTTATTTTTTACATTTTAACATGGAAATATTCAAATATATAAAAGGAGAGAAAATAATGGACCCATATGTCCATCAGCCAGCTTTAACAGTTTCCAGCATTTTGGCATTGATTTTTGTCTGCCATTGACTCACTTGTTTGTTTCTCCTAGAATATTTTATTTTATTTTATTTTATTTATTTATTTTTTTTTTTTTTGAGACAGAGTTTCACCCTTGTCACCCAGGCTGGAGTGCAGTGGCACAATCTCAGCTCACTGCAACCTCTGCCACCTGGGTTCAAGTGAGTCTCCCACTCTGACAGACTCAATAATTCAGAAGATGCTTCTTTAGTTTTCCAAGCAACTGTAAGGCAAATCACTTGGGGCCACTCTTGGATATCTGAAATTTGCCCGCCTCTTGAAAGAAATCACTTGATGTGGTAGTGCATGCCTGTAATCCCAGATGTTTGGGAGGCTGAGGCAGAAGGATTGCTTGGTCCAGGAGTTCAACATCATCCCGAGCAACACAGTGAGACCCAGACCCAATCTCAAAAAAAAAAAAAAAAAAAAAATATATATATATATATGTATAAAATCACTCTCTTTAACTAGTCCTACCTAATTCGAGCCTATTGTGTTCCTTATTCTCAGAGCACTTTTGTTTGGATGTCTATTATATTACTTCTGCATTCCTGGACAGGTTGCTTTCAATGACCTTGAGTCATTTTGTGCATGTCTTCTGGAAGCCATCACACTGAGAGAGCAGTAACTGGAGTCTGACTGACATCCCTGGGATGTGTACAATATGTCCCTCACCAATTAGACCACAAGATCTTTCAGGAACTCTGGATATCATTAGAGAAATAGTGTATTTCCTGTCTCTCAGAGACATGCGAATTCATTTTTAAGAAATGCTGATTAATTCATTTGCTCATAATTCAGCAACACCTGTCCTAGGTAAATAAAAATACATAATTTGTCTAACTGGAAGGAATTCATCCAATATTTTAGTGGCAGACAGTGGCTGAGGGGTGATTCTTCTTAAATTAAGCACACTACAAAATTATATTTTATTAGAGATGGGGTCTTGCTCTGTTGCCCAGGCTGGAGTGCAACGGCACTATCACAGCTCACTGCAGCCTTGACCTTCTGGACTCAAGCAATCCTCCTATCTCAGCCACACAGTAGCTGGGACTACAGATGCATGCTACCACACCCGGTTAATTTTCTTTTCTTTTCTTTTCTTTTTTTTGGAAAAAAGGGGTTCCACTATGTTGCCTCAGGCTGATAACTCTTGGCTCAAGCAATCTCCCACCATGGCCTCTCAAAGTACTAGGATTACAGGTATGAGCCAAGCCTGGCTTGCTTTGAAATTTAGAATTGTTCAGTAGCAAGATTAGAAATCCAACTGAATTTTGGAAATGAAAGTGAATACTGATGATAGTGTGCTATAAATAATATATTTGTCATAAATTGGTGTATTAAAATTACATTTTTCAATGCAATGAACACAATATATGTATGTGGGTGTATATACACAGATACATAGCCTTTCTGATTGTGATGGACTACATTTCTGGGTTACTCCTGTCTGCC